CCCCCTTGGGGGTCGCGACCCCCAGGTTGAGAACCGCTGATCTAGTCCCTAATTATTTGTGCCCAGTCCCTAGGTCACGAGCTAGTACTCTGTTTTGCACTTCATCTACTTCCTCGGCCCTATGTTATGCTGTTTGCACTATCCTTTGCCCAGCCCTTTTGAGCTTGGTCATGCCCACTTTAGTAATCCTGGCCATTGTTTTTTGTTGAACCTTGCTTGCTGGAGCGTCTATGTTAATGGTTTTATACTTTTATCTTTAGTGTTTTATTTGGGTTTGTATTTTATGTGCTTTTATTTTAAGATATTTGTTCTGTGGATTGTTTCGCTTTTATGTATTGTGGACACTTTGTCCATATGTAAGCCACCCCGAGTTCCTTTGGGGAGATGGTGGTAGGGGTATAAAATAAATGTATTATTATTATTATTATTATTATTATTATTATTATTATTATTCGGGGCACAGGTTTTGAACCTGTTCCACAGCAACAATTATCTCAAACGAGCTTAGAAAACATTACAGTACACTTTCATTGGGGTTAGGAGCACAGGACCCTGGTAATAGTGGAAAAACTACAACTTAAAAACAACATTTTTTTAACTTGAGGGATCACTTCTCTAGGAATCTCTAGATCTTTTACCAGAGATTCCTAATGAGACCATATTAACGTCCTTTAAATAAATCTTGTGAAGAAAACCCTAGGATGGGTCACAACATGTTGGAATTGACTTTGAGGCCCAACAAAAACAACAACAAAAGCTAATTGAAGCCCATTTGCCAGTGAAACGCACCTACTGGCAGTGTCTTCGCAAAGGGATACATACACACATCTCAAATCTTTAATGTGTGAACACTCCCATTGGAAAAAATATATTGCTAATTCAAGGCAATTGAATTGGCACTTTAAAGTAAAACTGTGACTGGAATTCACTATCTCTGTTACGTTGTAATCTGGAGATATGCAGTCATAACTGATTTGTATTCAGGATCCTTACATATTCAACAGTACATGGAATATGTTGGAATCATTAAAATCCTCCTGCAAGCAATAGGGGTTTGTTCTCCTCCCAATTAAGGTACAGCAGACTGTTATTTCCAACACTACCTCATCTCTAGTGTGAGGCACAGTGACAGAGATTCTGCTTATGATTGTTGCTCCAGAGTCACTGATAGGGCTGCAAACATCACTCTATGGCAGTGGTTCTCAGCCTGTGGGTCCCCAGGTGTTTTGGTCTACAACTCCCAGAAATCCCAACCAGTTTACCAGCTGTTAGAGTTTCTGAAAGTTGAAGGCCAAAACATCTGGAGACCCACAAGTTGAGAGCCATTGCTCTACGGCATCCTGGTCTGAAGGAGAACAGATCTCCATCTCTCATAGCAACTGCTATCCAATTAGTCAAACTGAGTGGTTGGGCCAGGAGGTTCAACAAACAGGAAGTCAGTTACATCTACTTAACTGACTACCCAATCAAAAATTTTGGCCTGTGCACATATTTAAAATGATTACCTGTATTAGTGCAAGGTGAATTTCCAGTTCAGCAATCCTCTTTCCTATACAACTCCGAATACCATAACCAAAAGGAATGGAGCCAAAATTGTCTACTCTGTCCATATTGCTTTTCCTGAGCCAGCGTTCAGGTTGGAACTCATTTGCCAATGGGAAATTATCTTCTTGATATGATGTAGCATAATGACAGAGGGCCAGCTGTGTCTAAGGAAACAAATTGGAATCCCCAAATGTATTAACCCTACATATTAATATACTTATAATGTTTCATATATGAAGTCTATACAGCATTTTAAAGCTTTGTTACACATACATGACTATTCATAAAGGGGACACAAGAGCATTGATGCTGAAGTTCAAATTACATCAAATAAGATAAAATACTAAATGAAAGACCAAATTAAAACTGATGTCATACTTTTTAACATCATGGAAAGTTCTCATATTCTTCTAACTAGAATTCCAGGGGAAAACAGGATGAATCTTACAGCTAAAGTCAGACTCATTAAGTGCACTCTAAGTTGCTTCCAAACGCTTTGAAAATAGGTTTACTTGAAAGAGCGGGCATGACCCATTGTTGAATAGTTAATTATTAAAAGAATTGTTTGGAAAGTATCACAATATATTTTTTGATTTATAAGAAATTAAATTATCTCCTTCTGTCTATATAAAAGAGTAATTCTGCTAATAAGTGATCATTTCTTGCTAAAACAGTAACGCTCTAGTGCCTTTTTTATTTCCATTATTGAAACTTCATTAAAGGGTTTTTTTTTAATCTGGACCAGATATTATTTTGGTAGTCATTCAGTGTAAACACAAGAGATTTAATTGCTTCCAGGAACACAGCTATCTGTTAATTGCTTTACTAAGAGATAACATGTCTTCCCTAATTGCATTTTTTAAGATGAAAGATCAATAAATACTTCACAGAATTTTTGAATGAAAACCAAGATATCCTAAGTTTCAGATTTAAGTTAATGATTTCACAGGACTAAATTAGGCTTTCCCAGATTAGCTAGTGTTGTGTAAAGGCACACCCTGAAGGAAAACATGAAACATCTTCCTTTCACAAGCCATTATACAACTTACCCCTTTCGGTATCAAGTATCCACCAACAATCATGTCTTTCTGGGTCACTCTGCCATTTCCTGGCAATACTGGAAATAACCTATAAACAAGTATCTATTAGAGAGATTCAGGGCCAGTAACATTGTAATTTTCTAAGTCTTCTTTGAAGGACATAGATAAAAATAGGAAATCCAGCAGATAGGAATAAGCAAACATTTTCAACAATGTAGTGCTGGTGATAAAAGTTGCCAGGACCTGTCTCAGGACCTCTGTGATTTAACTTTTGTGTTAATGAGTTGAACAATGAAATGGCCAAGTTTGAGGTGTCGCCGATTTAGAATTGCAAAAGCTAAACAAACTTTTAAGAATTCCATGATGATCTTTTAGGTTTGGCTCTTAATTCCAGATCAGTTGTTGAGTATAGTGTTTAACAATAAGATGTGGATAGAAAAGTTCATAAATTATTTTAAACATTTTAGAAGACTATAAAAGACTATAAAGCATTTGTAAAATTATTCCATGCATATGCGTTACATGAATAATTTCATTTCCTTAATGTGGCGCTCACTTGTTTTTCTGTGAATTGCCTTTATATCAAATCAAGTTTGCATAGGATTTGGTTATGTTAAGGTTTAAGGTGAGGATTTTTTTTAAAGTATCACTGGTGTAAATAGAATAAATAGAGAAACATTTGGTTTTCATTTCAAAACAAAAGAGCACATTATAAAATTGGTAGGACAAACATTAAGTACCACGTCATGCAATATACAATCAGCTTTGGGGGGTTTTTAAACTTTGTAGCCCAATTTCCCTTCATTTGTTGTTGAGTATCTTCTCATCATTTCCTAAGGCAAACATATCACAGGGGTTTTTGGAACTGAGAAATTGTGATTTGTCCAAGGTTGCCCAATGGGTTTCCAGGGCCAAGAGGGAAATCAACCCCTGGTCTTCAGAGTTGTAGACACTCAAACAACTATGCCACACTAACCCACCTTTCCATCATCACTAATATTATAGTCACTTCTACAGTAGTAGGACTATTGTAGTATAATACAATATCACCTGCTTATCCACAAACTCAGTACTCATAGTTTCACTTACCCATGCTCCAATACATATGCCCACCCAAAAGTCTTTGTGAGCTAGCTTCTATGATATGTTGTCCCAAGTATAGTTTAAAAAAAGAGAGTTTGCTATTATCTGCTGTTTTAGATATCTTAGGGGTGTATCTCCCATGGATATGGACATTGTACTGTAATCACTACTACAGTAAGGCGATTAAAAAGCAACCTCCACATCCAAAGACAATACATCTTTGAGCCTTTTTGCTAACAAAAATATATTGAGAATGGTTCTGTCCATCATGACTTGCTTGTGATTATTATGGAAGCATCTGGTTAACTATTGTTGGAGCCAAAGTCTAGAAACTACTGGGTGCTTTATGCTGATAGTATGGTTATCAGAATGGTGTAATACAGTTTTTGTATGGATACACAGTGAAAACAAAGTGAAGGCATTGAAAGAAATTGTTGTCATATCAGAATACCGTTCTGCTCCCTTCTAATGGATTTCTGTGCCCACTCCCATTTTACTCCTGTCATTTCCACCATTGCACTCCTACCACTGCCTCTGCCATTGCAATATACCAGCTAACAGGATCTCAATCTGCTTCATATGCAATGCAAAGAAATAGTTACCTGCAATACAAATAACAAACTTATCAGATGGGGCTGTTTTTGGCAGCATACACTGATTCAGTCCTAGTTGACCCACAGAAATCACCGGCTCCCATCTCATGACGCATGTGTGCTTCTGTCGAGGCTCCGTGGGTCAACTAGGGCTGGACCAGAGTATGCCTCCGCTGTGGCAACATTGGGAAGCTTCCCTTGTTGTGCAGAAAGCAATGGGAGGAGGGAGCCACATGGTCGATGCTTTCCACAGTGGGATCAGCTTCTTGCCAAGCCGGGCAATGGGGGGGGGGGGGCAATGGTTCTCCACACCGCTCGACAGCAGTGGTGGTTCCAGCGACCCGTATGATGAGGTTGTAAGTCTACATGATTTGGGGCTCTCCTTTCTTCATGCACAAAAGTAGACACTACAATTTTATTCTAGCTAACCACAGTTTCCTTTTGGGTAGTGGTGATTTGTTCTACCTATGAACGTACAGTTGTTGAACTCATTACAACTGGGTGATTATGGTGGAGGACCACCACCACTAGCAATCATTGTAACCATTGTAATTGTGCAAAATTTGGCTGTGAACCCAGCCACACCATCTCCTAACCATTTGCTCCTCCCCAGAGGCAGAAGAACCTGAAGAATTTATGCCTAGAGTGCTTGGTTATCACAGCCTCTGCTGCTGCCCTGTGCTATTTTATATACAGATACCCATACTGTATTCCAAAATCTGATAAAAAATTGTAATGATGGAACACTTCTGGTCCCAAGCCTTTCAGATGACAGTTATTCAACCTGTAATTTGAATTGGGATTTCCTTATAACTTGTCCTTATATCTTTCCTTACATCTTTGATCACTTGTGCAAAGTAAGAATCAAAGCCTGGGTTCAAATACCATTCATTAGCAATTCTATTGCATTTAACTGACTTCCAAGACAATTCATGATTACTCGAAAATAGAGCCCACTCATTTCAGCGACGCTTACTGCTAAAAGCATGAATCAAAAGATATTCATAAAGCACTTTTTAGACTACAAAATTTAGGGCAATATTTTGGATATCTGAACTATGCCATCACAGTGAACTTTAAACAGCAAAATGTAATAAAACAAGAATGATCAAAGGTTTTTTTTCAAATGTCTGGTTGCACTTACCTTAAAGTTTCTTTAAGAAGGGCTCTAATCATTGGTAAATTTGGGATATCATCTGCATCAGGGACTTTATCTTTCCCCAAGTTATGGACTATCTCTTTATAGACTGAATGCTGTACTTCAGGATGCTTTGCTAACATGTATGTTGCCCAAGATAAAGTGAATGAAGTCTAAAGGAGATGAAACACAGGACCAGTGGGAGAAAAAAAAATAAGGATGGCATGATAATGGATGGCAAGTAGCATATATTAGTCTACACTCATCTTTCTTTATTACTCTTTACCTGCACAGTGAGCTCCCAATCTTCAGGTTGAACCAACTACATAAGGTATCATTGTAGCCCATTCCTAAAATGCCAGTTATGTTTATGTGAATGCAGATGGATTCACACCAGCCTCATTTAACAATATGAGGTGCAACCATCTATGAAAGTTCCCAAACCCCCATGGATCTGGAGAGCCCAATGTATTGTACATGATGTGCCACACATTACTGAAGCTAAATTTCTGAGCCTTCCATTCTGGATTTGCATTTTTCTGACTGCAGTCATGGAAATAATTACTTTTCTTCTTCATTTCTCAGTTCCATTACTGTAAATATATACTATTTGAATCAATAGGTTGCTATGTACAATATTTTAATACTTTTCAAAATATCTGCATCATATATAGGGTGAGGATGACTATGACATTTTACTTTTCTTTCCCCTGCCTCACAAAATAGGTTAAAAAGATGGAAGATGGATGCATTTTTTCCACAGTCTCTCATTATATGTATTTTCTGTTTGTTCTGCCTTATTGTTCCTCATACAAACTCAACTATGGACTCTCTTTCTCTCTCTTGACGAGAGGCTGGGAGTTCTGCCTAACTACATAAAATGTTATTGTGATCTAAACAGTGGCTCTTCTCAGGTTCCCAGCTCCTTCACGTCCTCTTCAAAACTGGCACTGTGTTAAAATATCTGAAGTGCTTTGAAGCCAAGTAACAGCTGCCTGCTCCATTCTACTCAAAGTCCTCGATGATCCTTTTAATGTGACTAAAGTTTTTGCATTCTGAATCAGAACCAAAAGGCCAGGTCTCGTATGCTTCCTCTTATATAGCAGATAATTCATCTCAAGTACCGCAATATACATTTGTAATTGCCTGGAATAGGCAGTTATGAATGAAAGCTAACTGACAATGCTTGTGATGGCATGAAGCTTTGTCAATTCAGGTTGAAGAGAATCAGGTCTCAAGTCTAAATGATATGTATGCCAAGAATGAAGGAAATGAAAAAATTGTGTATTATATTTATGCTTTGAGGATACCTTTAAAAATATTAAAATTACTTATACTATTAATATGCAAATTCATGCAAATTCAAAGTTCTAACTCATAGTTCTCAATCTCTGATTTGGCCCATACTGATCATCTCTGGGAGTTGAAGCTGTAAACATCTGAAAAACCAAAGATTGTGAACTACAGTCATACCACAACATTAGTTGGGGTTAGGGGTACAGGAGAGTGGGAAAACAGTGAATAAAAAACAATGTTTTTTTAACCTGAGACAACATGTCCCTAGTATTATCTAGGTCCTCCAACACAACTGAATGGTCAATGCCTGTGTTGGAGCTCAGCCTGTGATTGTGTTTCATGATGAGGGTGTTTCGGATGTGGGGGGTGATGTCAATGAGTTTCAAATTGGCAATGGTTTGGTCAATGATATTGATACAGAGAATGACCAGGAGATCCCTGTTCAAAGTGTAGTTTCCCATGAGAATGTCCCTGAAGATGTGGGAATGATGGTGTGCTCCCTGAATTGCTACCAGAGAGTTCCCATGATTTGGTGCTTGAAAACAGCTCGGCACCCGGTGCAGAAATTAATGAGCAAATAGATAGACAGGAGGAGATTAGTCAAAACAGAAAAGCTGAACAGTGGCTTTGGCATTCTGCCAGCCTCTGAGAGAAAAAAAGATAAGGGATTCTAAACTAAAACAAAACAAATTTCTGAGTGCTTGGAACATAACTAACAAGGAGATAAAAGTCCCAAGTACAGGATATGTAGTCAGATGAAGCATCGTTTAGAATCAAGTCAAGATCTCGTCCTTGTTTCATGAAAGCCTAGCTTGGAAGATTCAGGTTTAAGTGCCTTTTGTTTCATGGTTTTGATTCTTGGATTCTATGATTTTGTATTCATTCCTTGGATTCATGTTTCCTGGTTTCTTGAATTTTATTAGAGAAGTTTTGACTTTGTTTTCATGGACTTTGCTGGGCCATTTTCCCTGGACTACTTTGTTCCTGCTTATCTTCTTACCTAATTGGATTTACCTATTTCTTTAAAGGGCTTTTTACTTTTTTACTGCTTTTTAATTATCTTCAATAAAAGGATTTTATTCAACTCTGTGGTGTTTAAAGTCAGAGGGCTTTTCCTGTTCTGGAGTGCACAGTCTGGCAGATCTTGATCATTGTGTCAAGAGCATTTGTTTAATGGGCAAGTGACAATACTATAGCCCTCTGAATGTTTTAATGGAAATCCCCATTCTTTTTACCACCATCTCTACTAGCTAAGGCTGCTCATTCTTGCATTCCAACATTTGGGGCAGATTCTGGCTTGCACAATGAGATCTTGTGTTTATATTTCCAGATTTCAGGGCCTGTTGCTTCTCCATTTCTCAGAGGAAGAGGGAAAATTCTCAGAGTGTGAGGACTTCCTCAAAGTATGTGTATTCTCCATATATTAGTCTTGGTCACTTTGTTTGAATGCTTCTCAGGAGTTTATCACATGAGGCAGGCAAATCACAATTGCAGCAGGACAGCATCATCCCTGCCTTGAATGATCTCACTCCTTTCCGATCATTCTCCCAATTGGAAGGTGATTCATTTACAAAAGGTAATCACTAATTGATTCTTTGTGCTTCTAATGGAATTTATATTTCTAAAAGAGCACTGAAAAGGGAATGACATCATTAAGTTTGTATGGTTGTGTTTGTTTACTATTTTGATTTAGTTTGTTTTGTTTCTGTTGTGTATCATGGCAATAAATGTTTGCCATCTTTTGTTGGAAACTACCAAAAGTCCCTCTGGGGAGATAGGACAAGTTATAAATAAAGTAGTAGTAATAATTTTGGATAAGTCCAACGTAAAGGCACTGTTATCCTGCTGTAAGTGCAATTTGCCTATGATTTGCTGTTTGCACTATCCCATGCCCAGCCCTCTTATAGTTGGCTACATCCATTTGTAACCCTGGCCATTCAAATGATGGAGCTACAATGAAATGGGTTTTAAATATTTTTATCTTTAGTGTTTTTTAGTAGATTTTTTTGTATTTTATGATGTTCTCAGTTGTTATTTATTTTGTCTGTTAAGCTTAATTAGATTGTGTTATATTGTCGAATGTATTTATCTTGATGTAATTGTCTGTATGGTTTTTTTCTGGAAATTGAATGTTTGCCTTACATGTTGGAAACTGCCCTGAGTCCCTTTGGGGAGATAGGGCGATATACAAATAAAGTATTATAATTATTATGTCATAAAACTCTTTAAAAGCATCTAAAATAGCCTCAAGTTATAAGAACTTAACTAAAACCAGCATGACACCAATAAATTACTATGCCTACTATTAAAATTAATAGTATCAACTCTGAACTTACTGTATCGACTCCTGCCAACAGCATTTCAGTCATATTGGCATAGATTTCTTCAATGGTGAGTTCTTTACTTCGAAGCAGAGTTGTGAGAAGTCCACCCTTTAACTCTTCTCCTTTGTCTAAACGGGATTTTATATGGTGTAATTTGTTGTCAACGTGAATTTGGCCTTTGTGAGGAAAAGGTGAAAAGGTTAATCACTGACATGTCACATTTCATGCTGTTATTTCTGATTTGTGATGTGATGGCCACAAACCAATATGAGATCTTCAGTATAGATTTTGGGGAAAAAATGCAGCTGGAAATTTCCATCTAGCAATATCTGAAGCAGTGGTTCTCAACCTGGGGTCCTCAGATGTTTTTGGCCTACAATTCCCAGAAATCCCAGCCAGTTTACCAGCTGTTAGGATTTTTGGGAGTTGAAGGCCAAAAACATCTGGGGACCCCAGGTTGAGAACCACTGATCTGAAGGGACACAAAATTCCACTTCTATTATAAGCCACTACAGTAGCTTTTCCTGCACAGATCTAGGATTTCACATCAAGCTATTTTCTTAAAGAAATCTTTAATCAGAGTCAGTCTATGCATTACTTACCACCCTGTCTCCCCCCACCCCCAGGGAGATGGGGTGGGTTATAAATATATCTTCATCATCATCATCATCATCATCATCATCATCATCATCTAGTATGTAATGCATAGTCTGACTCTTTCTGATTCCCATGTCATACTTTTTTTTCGTGTCAGGAGTGATTTGAGAAACTGCAAGTCACTTCTGGTGTGAGAGAATTGGCCATCTGCAAGGACGTTGCCCAGGGGACTCCAGGATTTTTTTGATGTTTTACCATCCTTGTGGGAGGCTTCTCTTATGTCCCCGCGTGAGGAGCTGGAGCTGACAGAGGGAGCTCATCCACACTCTCCCTGGATTCCAACCTCCGACCTGTTGGTCTTCAGTCCTTCCAGCACAAAGGTTTAACCCACTGCACCACCGGGGGCTTCTCATGCCATACTGGAGAAATGAAATTACATTCAAATAGATATTTTTTTTAAAAAACTTACTAAATTTAAAGAGTCCATCCCATGACCTACAGAATTCTCTCCAAGGTTTTGGGATAATTGGACGAAGCCATTTGGGAATGGCTCCTGCATACATGGTAGTTTTGAAACTGCTGAACATCAGTTCCAGTGCTTCAATGTATTCGACAGTGTTCTGAGGAATGTCATTCTCCAGACACCCCAAGCGGCACTCAAACAAAACAGTTGCCACTCCTGCACAAAAAAGAACAATGTGGAATTTATTATACTTTTTTCAAAGCAAGTCATAAAACAATCATGTATCTGTTTATTAAAAAATAAGTTACAGTGATCTCAATGAGGTTTGAGGTGCATCTACACTGTATTATTAATGCAGTTTGACACCACTTTAATGGCCATGGCTCAGTGCTCCCAAACTGTAGTTTTCACAAGGTCTTTAGAATGCTGGCTCCTCACCAAACTACAACTCATGTGATTTCATAGCTTTAAGCCATGGCAGTTAAAGTGGTGTTGAGTGCATTAATTCTACACTACAGATGAAGCCTTAGGGCATTTTCACATGGCACAGTAATACTACTGTGGTTGCGGTTTAAACATAGGTATTATACGTCTGAGCCAGAGCACTCCTTAGTACCTCCCCAAACTTCAAATCCAAGTATTCTACAGGATGCAGCCAAGGCTGTTAAAAGTATGAAAAGTAGTATCATTCCAAAAAGGTGGGCTGCATCCTTACAGTACAGAACTAACTTGCTCTACAGGAAAAGTTCAAATTGCTTTGCATATAGTCTGGAAGCAAGTTCCACTGACTCAGCATACATCTTACTGAAATATGTGCCTAAAAGCTCTGAAAACACAACTCAGAAGGAAATAAAGCATACTAGTAGCCAGTGCAGGTGAAAAAACAGTGTCATTTAATGCCAACTTCACATGTTCACTGGTGCCACCAAATTAAACCACAGCAAAATAATATTATTGTGATGGTGCTGTATTGTGACACAAGACACCATCTTAACGCCATACTGAAATATTGCCTATTATGGCAACATACCTTTATGTGAAACATTTCTAGGATTTTACACCTGTTGACATAAATAGCACAACAGCAGTCATCATTAGCACAGCCACTTCGTTTAAAGCCCATTCCTTTTAAAGAAACCTCACCTTCCATTGAATACTTGAAAAAAAGGCTGTTGACATTTGTCACTGTTTCTCCATCTTCCTCTTGATTTCTCAGAATACGGATCCTCTTAATCAAATCTGTAATAACTTCATTAACTCCTCCAGAGAAAATGGCAACATCTTTGGGTTTCACCATTTTTTGTCTTAGTACGCGCCTCATTTTTAGCCACTGTTCCCCCTCTCTGGAATAAATAAATTCAAAATCATATTGATCACATTTTGTTCCAAAAGATAAAGCGGGCTGTTCCCATTAGGAGGCAATAAACCAAAGTGTTTTTTATTTGAAAAATTGTTGCGGGAGGGAAAATGTAGGTGTAACAATTATTTCTTCATATTTCTTCTTTATTCCAGTAAGAAACAGAAATTACTTGATATAAATTATGCATGCAAATCCCCCAAATTATATATAATTGCATATAATAAGTAGAATGAATTCATCCTTGGGATAAGTCTGGGGCAAAATGCTGCACTTGGAGTTTTAAGTGCTCCAAAAGCTCCGCTAATTGCTAGCTCTGTTTCTGGGCACAATTCAAAGTATTGGTTGTAAAAGATATGAAGTAAGTTCAAACTATTTGACAGACTATGGCTGGATCTACATTGCCATATAATGCAGATTGAATCTGTTTTATATGATCAGTGTAGACCCAAATAATGCACTTTAATTGCACTGAATTGAATTATATGGATCGACATCAGGCATGGACAAACCTTGGCCCTCCAGTTATTTTGGACTTCAACTCGCATAATTCCTAGCAGCCTACCAAGGTGAAAGAAGAAAGTACAAAAGCTGGGTTGCAGTTAAACATAAAAAAACCAAAATTATGGCAACAAGACTGACTGATAACTGGCAAATAGAGGAAGAAAATGTAGAAGCAGTGGCAGAATGTGCATTTCTAGGTGCAAAGATTACTGGAGACGTGGACTGCAGCCAGGATATCAGAAGATATTTACTTCTTGGGAGGAGAGCAATGATCAATCTCGATAAAATAGTGAAGAGTAGAGACATCACACTGGAAAAATGTCTGCATAGTTAAAGCAGAGGTATTCCCAGTAGTAACCTATGGATGTGAGAGCTGGACCACAAGAAAGGCTGAGCGAAGAAATATAGATGCCTTTGAATTGTGTTGGAGGAAAATGCTGAGAGTGCCTTGTAGTGCAAGAAGATCAAACCAGTCCATACTCCAGGAAATAAAGCTTGACTGCTCACTGGATGGAAGGATATTAACGGCAAAGATGAAGTACTTTGGCCACATAATGAGAAGACAAGATAGATTGGAGAAAATAATGATGCTGGGGAAAATGGAAGGAAAAAGGAAGAGTGACCAAGGGCAAGATGGATGGATGTCATCCTTGAAGTGACTCACTCGACCTTGAAGGAGCTGCGGATGACAATGGCCGACAGGGAGCTCTGGCATGGACTGGTCCATAGGTCACAAGGAGTCGGAAGTGACTGAACGAATAAGCCACAAAAAACTAATTGAAGTGATATTTCTATTAAAAATCACAAACTTATGCTAAAACACTGGACAAAAACATACAGTCATTTTGGTGTCATCTGATGGTGTCATCCAGTGTGGTTCTCTCCCCACTCCTCCAGTGATGCCACTTCCTTTTGCAGGCCTCTATAATCTCTAAAATGTGCTCCTTGAGGATTTCCCACCACTCTCAAATTGTTTTTAGCGGGCAAGGAGAGTTACCATTTCCAGGGAAGGCAGCCAGAACTACTGTAAGCAACATTAAAGTCAGTGTCTGCTCTTTTTACTTGTGATTTGTATGTTAGTTGTTGATGTTTCAAACTGCTGTATGTTTGTTCCAAGGATGAGCTTGCAGCACTGCATACCTTGGAGGAAGTCAGTAAAGCCATCAACCATTTTTTTAAAAAAGAAAGCCAGTGGACCTGATGGGATTCCTGCAGAATATTTTTAAAGGAGGTGGACCTGAGCTGACACAACAACTCCACAAGCTCATTGAAAAAGTGTAGGCGAACAAGAAGATCCCACAAGACTTCAAGGATGCCACTCTTTTCAAGAAGGGAGAAAGAACAGACTATGGAAACTACCCAGGTTTCTCCCTTTTAACTCAGCCAAGAAAATCCTCACAAACTCTATACATGGCATTCACTGACCTAACAAAGGCATTCGACACAGTGAATCGCAACACTCTCTGGACCATCCTCCTAAAAATTGAATGCTCTGATAAATTTGTGAACATCTTGCAGCTTCTCCATGATGACAGTATGGCAACAGTCTTGAACAGCAATGGCTCCCAAAGTGATCCATTTAAGGTGGGATCAGGTGTCAAGCAGGGATGTGTTATTGCCCCAATCTTATTTTCCATCTTTGTAGCAAGGATTATGCACCTTGTTGACGGGAAGCTTCCCACCAGTGTGGAAATCACCTATTGGACAGATGGCAAATTCTTTAAACTCAGCAGGCTGAAAGCCAAAAGTAGAGTCACAACAACTTCTGTTATAAAACTCCAGTATGCTGTTGATACTGTAGTCTGTACTCATTCAGAGGAAGACCTAAAAGTCACTTTTAAACACCTTTGCAGAAGCATATGAAAAGCTTGGTCTCTCACTGAACATCAAGAAAACCAAAGTGTTCTTCCAGCAGGCACTTGCCGATCTCTCTCCAATGCCAGCAATAAAGCTTAATGGTGTAATGGCAGAAAATGTTTACCATTGCCGCAACCTAAGCAGCCACTTCTCCACAAAAGTTGACATCGATGCCGAAATACAACTGTGCTGTCACGCACTGGGCCTGTGAAAAGGTCTGTAGACAGGACATGTTCTGTATGCCGGGGGTGCCTCGGATTAGAGGCCCTTTGGATTTCCCTAAACAAAGTCTTTAGAAACTTGGAAAGTTTAACAAAGTTCTTTATTAGTGCTTAGGTCTTCAATAAATCAAACAAATACTTCAAGGCTTTGAATCAACTGGTAGCTTTCTTAATCTTGTCCACAAGGGACAGGCAACTATCTTCATGAACTGTTTCTTCACTATCAGGGAAATCCTTGACCTCTATCTGGGCAATCTGTCTTAGGCTCTGCTGGCGTGGGCCCCTACACCCGGTCCAAATTGCGTTATGGCTGCCGTGAGTGGACCTTACCAAACAGAGTCCTTTTGTATATTTCCAAGAGGAAAGAAGGTCTTCAATTCCCAGCGAAGGCTGGCTGTAAAGCTGTGGAGCTGTATTTCTCCAGCAAAGAGCTGGCTGTAGAGCTGTGGGACTGAACTCCCCCCAACAAAGCTATGCTTCTCTGTAGAGCTGTGGGACTGAATTCCCCGCAGCAAAAGCTGTAAAAGACGAAGCTTTCTACAGGTGGAACTGATTCACGTCCTGTACGAAAGGCTTCTCTGTGTGAACTGAACTAGAGGTCCCCTTTTTCCCTCCTAAACCCAGAAAAAGGGGCGGAACTAAAGAACCTAATGATTCTTGATGGGTCATTGGCCCTATAATTGCAAATCAAGGGAAGCCATTTTATTGCAAAATGCATGGAACCTAGGAATACATGCAAACACTCAGAAAAAGAAAAAAAAAGTTGGAGCTCCTGGTACAGCCATACCAGAAGAACAACACTGTCTGAGCTGTGTGAGTGCAACATTTTCTTGAATGTAGCTGAGAGTGTTCAAGGATCAGGTTATTTATAGAAATACCAAGATGTTTGTTCATAAAGCTATTGCCCTTCCCACACTGTTATATTACTGAGAAACATCTACAAAAATCACTCTCAATTTCTGGAACAATTCTATCAGAGTTGCCTTCAAAAAATCTTGCAAATCTCTTGGGAAGACAGGCGGGCAAATGTCAGCATTCCGGAAGAAGCAAAGACCATCAACACTGAAGTAAAGATCCTCTGCCATCAACTTCACTGGACTGGCCATGTTGACTGATCATCATCTCCCGATCACTGTCTCCCAAAGTTCAAAGCTCTCAGCTCAAGAACAGAAAACAGAATGTTGATGGAAAGCAAAAGAGATTTAAAGATGGGCTTAAAGCTAACCTTTAAAAATGTAGAATAAACACCGAAAACAGGAAAGCCCTGGCCCTCAGTTATTACTAACATTACTGTGGATTTTCAAGAGACATGGATAGAGGGCAAAAGGTAGACATGTGCCAAAAGGAGGGCACACTAAGAAAACCCTTGTCAGGACCACCTTTTATCTGGAAATGGATGTTCTCACTGCAAAGATCATGCAAATTCAGAATAGGTCTCTACCGTCACTTGCGGGCCCACCGCCAAGATCCTACCCCTGGAAGACAATCATACTCGGCCACGAGTGATAGCCTATGTTAATGATGGGTGTTTGTTCAATGTCAAAGACCTGCATTCAGTTTAAAGTTGTGGAAACATAGTTATGACTGAGATAGAATTGTTCACGTACATTTTGTTGGGCATTTTGACTGCACATTTTAGTGTGCATTCAGCCATGTAGCTTTGCCATTCAAGACAAGAGCTATGTAATACAATCAATATGTGATACAATCAAGACAAGGGCTATATAACACCACAAGTGGAAGTTTATGTCACACAACTGTGATGTAGTATTTCAGATCAGTCAGGTCATATCAGATCAGTCGTTATGACATACGTGGCTCTATAGGTTCCTCACCATTTGCTATCTCCCTTCAAAAATGATGATATGCATTGTTGTTTGGAAAGGGGAAACAAAGAGCATTGTGAAAATGAATGTCTGCATAACTGCTGTTTCATGTTGTAATTGGCATACCAAAGTATCACTTTAGTAACACAATTCACACATGCAGGAGAAACCAGAAGATGCAATCTAATTTTTGACAAGAATGTCATTTCATTCACCCCAGCCTGTGAGAAGGAAATTACTAAAGCTCCAGTGGGGTGGTGAGAGTCAGCAACTCAGTTGTAGAGTCAAGAACAATTGTCATTAAATGCTACTTATTTTTAAATAATGTAAGTAGTGAGGGCTTTAAGATCTGCTAGGAAGGCCCTTCTCTCGCTCCTGCCTCTGTCACAAGCACGGTTGGTGGGTATGAGGGAGAGGACCTTCTATTGGAGTTCAGCCTGTGGCTGTGTCTAATTATCAGGGCACTCTGGATGTTGGGAATGACAACGCTGGTTCTAATGACATTGGGAATGACAATGATAATACTGTCTCTAATTATGAAGGTGCTTTAGATGCAGAGAATGACCATGGGATTCCTGTTCCAAGTGTCTTTGCTGATGAGAATGTTCCTGAAGAGTTGAGGGATAATGGGATAGTCTCTGGAAGAGGGCCTGAATTGCTACCAGAGAATTCCCAGGCCTTTGAGCTTGAGAATAGCTCGGCACCTGGCCCAGCTGCAGAAATTAATGAGCCAGAAGATAGAAGGCATGTTCAACAATCTCTCTGGCACTCTGCCAGGTTAAGAGAGAAATTGATAACATAGTCTAGGCTGAATAGAAACAAGTTTCTGGCAGGGATTTAGAGTAGATTAGGGGATAAAAGTGCCTCTGGAACTCTCTCCCCAGGGAGATAAGATTAGCCCCACCCTGTCCACCTTCCATAAAGACCTTAAAACTTGGATGTTTCAATGTGCTTTTGATTAATTGGTTCATCTATTGATTACACCCCCCTAGCCCTAACTTACTGTCTGGATCTGTAGCACTTTATTACCAGCCCTGCCCTTACAGCTGTATTGCACTAGCCCTTGCCCCGCCCTCCTAGATCTGAACACGCCTACTGTTCTCAGCTACTGGTTGATGGTTATTTATGTTTTTATGTTTTCATGATGTCTATTTCACAGTTTTATTGTTTTAATTATTGCAATGCAATGTATTTTAATTGTGCTATATTTTACTCCTGTTTTTGCTGGGCTTGGTCCCCATGTAAGCCGCTATGAGTCCCTTCAGGGAGATGGTGGCGGGATATAAGAATAACATTATTATTATTATTATTATTATTATTATTATTATTATTACCAAGAAGCATTTCTTTTTTGTTGAACTTTTATAATACACAAGCCAGTTCTTTTTACATTAAAAAAAACCCCCTCAGTTGCTGATGCTTTGTCTCCCCACCACCACCCATGAAAGCAGAAGAATGTCTGTGACTCATGCAGGGATTGGCTTTCCTTTGAATAAGCACATTACATCAGTAATTAGCTTGAATGTCCCCTAAGGGCATTTGCCAACAGTCATCCCATAGGTACACAATCGTGATACTAGCACATTCTTTAAAGAAACACATTAATCAAAACCAGTTTTGAATGCATCATCAGATTCCTGTTTGGGGATTGCCAAGATAGTAGCACTGTTTGGCAACACAAAGCCAAAAATTCCATTACACTCACGCAGATATAAGTCCTGTTGCTCTCCCTCGTAAATCTCTGTATTCCTGCCAGGAATCCATGTCAGCCCGTTGGGGTGCAGAGCCTTCTTCGCGGAGAACCTGAGCAACCAGGTCTCGATCTGCAATGGATACAACTAGTTTGGGACCAAAATGTGACTTGAAAATTTTTCCATATTCCTGAACGTGCTTCTGCTATGAACAAAAAAATAAACAAATACATTATTCATTTTCACTGTCAAATATTATACAGCTGTACAATCATGTTTTCTAATTTGCATTGGTGATTTAGAAGTCAGGAATCACATTAGGAACATCTAACCTAACTACAGCAAATTAAATTCTATGGTCTTCTGTCTTTCTATAGTATCCAACAACCTTAGATTGCACCAATACTCTGCTTTTCAAAGTACAGTACATCTTATTATTGTAACAATCAGGTACATTAAAGTGGCGATCCAGCACCTGCAAGAAGCTTGGAGATATCCTGTTTCCGAGATTTAAGCAATCAGGGAAAATTATATTTCCTTGGATGCACAGAGTCTCACACAAAGTTAAAGGAATTGTGCAAAAGAAGGACAAAGGTGCTTGGTGTGATTTTAAACTGAATGCTGACAAAGGTGAAGGGAGAGGGGTTCTCTAATGTCACCGTCCAGTTATAGAATGCCCTTCCTAGAAGCCTGACTGGCATCTGCATTGCTGCTACTTCAGTGACAAGTGAAAATATCATTGCTTCCAGGCGTCTTTGGTGTTCTTCAGAACCAATCATGTGCATGGTTTTTAATTGTTTTCAATTATTTTAACTTGCATAATATGTCTACTTTTAACCTTTTTAATGGTCCAATATGTTTTAGCCTAAAAACTTTTTTTTACTGCTTCCATTGTTTTAAACTAACCATGTTGTTTTAGTGTATGCTGCCTCAAGGTGACCAGATTGAAGGAAAAATATAAATACTCAAATATTCAAAACTAACAAAATGAAGTTCAACAGGGAAAAATGCAAGATACTCCACTTAGGCAGAAAAAATGAAATGCAAAGTTACAGAACGGGAAATGCCTGGATCAACAGCAGTACGTGTGAAAAAGATCTTGGAGTCCTCGTGGACTACAAGTTAAACATGAGCCAATAATGTCATGCGGTGGCAAAAAATGTCAATGAGATTTTGGCCTGCATAAATATGAGTATAGTATCTAGATCTAGGGAAGTCATGTTACCCCTCTGTTCTACCTTGGCCAGACCACACCTGGAATCACACTGTGTCCAGTTCTGGGCACTCCAATTGAAGGGAGATGTTGACAAGCTGGAATGTGTCCAGAGAAGAGCGACTAAAATGATCAAAGGTCTGGAGAACAAGCCCTATGAGGAGAGGCATAAAGAGCTGGGCATGTTTAGCCTGCAGAAGAGAAGGCTGAGAGGAGACATAATGATGGCCATGTATAAATATGTGAGGAGAAGTCATAGGGAAGGTTCTTGAAAACTGGAAGGGTGTGATTTTTTTACCAGTTCTTTCTTCTCTTTGTAGTAACTCTTGTTATCTCCTCTCTTGTTCCAGAGAGGACACCAACCCAGATGTCCCAGTGGGATGACAAGAAAAAATAATCAAGAACCAGTTTTCCCTCTCACTCTTATCATGTTTCTACCATTGGCAAGGCTTTGCTCATAGAAATGTAGGATGCAAGATGCTTGATCCACATTGGCAGTAACAGTGCTATAATCAAGTTTTCTCGCCGACACTAATGTAACATCAAATGACATGAAAATTACTAGTCACCCAAAAGACTAGTTTGGATGCTATTCTCTGATGTTCTGCTGGGCTATTTTTCCCACTAAATCAGTACTATCCATTGCATTTTGTCATAGCAGAGGACAATTTCAAGCACAGCAGTGTCAATAATCACATTGTTGTGCTATCTCTTAAGTGTGACTGCCAGTGCAAGTAATGAGCTTGAGTAAGACTGCAGGGCCAGCTTCAAAAACCTGTTTCTATGTAACCCATCAAAGCGCTGATAGAAAACATGAGTTCACTAAAGTAGTATGTAGATTAAAGCATTGGAATTGTGTAATAGATTGTAACTGCACACCTGGAGAAGATGGAGCTGCCTTTGCCCTAGATCATTAGCACAGCCAGACTGGCAGAGATAACATGCCATCAGCAATCCTGTTGGATTTTGACAGCTGATTCAATGAATAAGCTTAATACAGTAAATTATGCAATATAATCTTTCCCTAAATTACTAACCCATTTGCTCTTTGTGTATGCTTTGTAATTTTGTTTGAAAAAAATATAAAGAGATTCATGCACACACATGGAAGCAAACTGTCTGGAACACAGACAATGACAAAAGCAATTGTTCAGTAGCGCTTCCAGCACAGATTCAAGGCTCCAGTGGCATTTTGTGTACCACTTCCATATGGCAACAGGGCTATGAGGTCTGTTTGATATTTTGAATAGTGAGGGCTTGATCTTTCTTCCACTAATTACTGAATTGTCTTAAAAGATTTTTTTTCTCCTCTTTGGGGGCACATAACAATTCACATACAAAACTTTAGCTTTTGGGGTGACGAAAAGCATTTCTCTTCCCTTCTGTTCCATACTTCATAACCACAGCTCTTTCTGAATTAAAGATGTTTTTCCCTTTAGCCAACTCAGTGCTAAGACTAGATGTTATGGCCTGACTTAACTGTTGGAGTCAGGTTACTGACAAACAGAACCTTCTTTGTAACCCCTCCGCTCCCTCCCCCTTCCCATATGGTGCGATGCATGGAACATTTGTGCATCAAACTGCATCATTTAAGTATTTGCGGCTTCGAAGGAGTCTCAGACTAATTTTTTTATCGTGTTCTCTGTGATAATAACAAAATTTTATTAATTCATTTGAAGTGTTGCATAAGATGAATGGTTTGCATAAGACATCTGAACAGCAACCAAAAAAGTGCAACAGACTGAGTCACGCTTGCTTATTACAGCCATTTCCTGTAGCTTTCCAATAAACTGCTAAAAGTCCATGCGCTCTAACTTATATCTTTGAGTCGCAGAAGCTTTGAGTGTATTAGTCAAGCTTGATTCGTTTCTTGCCCTTTAACATTACTTATCCATCACATCGTACAACCAATGTAAGAAGATGGATTAAATTTTAAAAGTGAATATGAATGCAGCAGGGGCTCTTAACATTCATTGCTGGCATACAAAACTGGAAGAAGGCACTCTTCCTGGATTGATTGATTGGGACTATAACAGTATATTTTGCTCAGGAAAATGTATGAGATATGTCTGGCTTCTTATTACACAAAATAAATATAAGGAGAGCTCTTCTGAATCTATATAAATAAAAATGTCATGTTCCTTTGTGGGATTAACATAACTCAAAAACCACTGGGCGAATTGACACCAAATTTGGACACAATATACCTATCAAGCCAACAAGTGACCATCACTCATAAAAACACTGAAAAACACAGCAGAAGAGCCAAAAAAGCCAAAAATTAAAAATTGCATTACAATGCATCCACCAAACCACATATATAAACATATACACACACATATATATATATACACACAAAAAACACATATACACAGATTGGGCCACAGCAACACATGGCAGGGGATGGCTAGTCAGACAAAAAAAATCTATCTTGTTTTTCAGATGCAGCTCAGAACTTCATAGCAACACTTTCACTCACACTCACACACTGACCCACTCACTTAGTTTCTATTTCACACACACATCGTGCAGTTGATCATTTGGGGAGAAAGAGAGGCTAGCAATCTAGCCATAGATAATAGAGTTACAAAGATGCAGGAATCTTTATGTGGTGAAAATTGGATTTATGGCGAGTCTACAGTCACTCTTCACATTCACTGGAGTTAGGGGAACAGAACCCTGATAAAAGTGAAAAATTCCAAATAAACCCATGCTGATTTTTTTACCCGAGAGAACATCTCTCTAGAAATGTCAAGGTCTTCCAGCATGCCTGACCATAGAATCATATAAAGAAGACCTAAAGATTCCTAGACAGCTGTTCTCTCTAGAAATCTCTAGGTCCTCCAGCATTACTGGAGGAAGTTGACTATAGAGTCATACTGAAGGATCTAAACATTCCTAGAGAGAACATGTTAATCTGTTCCATGAATAATCAAATCTGCAAAAGTCAAAACCACAAATATGGAGGGATGACTGTACTCTTTTCCTTTGTAGAACAGAAAACAATGTGGATAATCTGCTTAATGCAGTAGTTCTCAACCTGTGGGTCCCCAGGTCTTTTGGACTACAACACCCAGAAATCCCAACCAGTTTACCAGCTGTTTGGATTTCTGGGAGTTGAAGGCCAAACAGCTGGGGATCCACAGGTGGAGAACCACTGGCTGAATGGATTATGCAGCAAGATTGCTCACGGGAGCGGGATATATGGAAAGAACTACCCTGCTCCTGAAGCAGCTACACTGCCTCCCAGTTTGTTTCTGGGTGCAATTCAAGGTGCTGGCTTTAGCCTATAAAGCCCTAAACCAGTAATTCTCAACCTGTGGGTCCCCAGGTGTTTTGGCCCACAACACCTAGAAATCCCAGCCAGTTTACCAGCTGTTAGGAATTCTGGGAGTTGAAGGCCAAAACATCTGGAGACTCACAGGTTGAGAACCACTGCTCTAAATGATTCAGGCCCAGCCTACTTGAGGAACCACATCTTCTCCTATCAGCCCACAGGAGCCCTGAGATTATCAGGAGAGGCTCTTCTCTTGGCCCCACCACCATCACAAGAATAGTTGGTAGGAATGAGAGAGGGCCTTGGGGGTAGTGGCCCCATGGCTCTGGGACTCCCGCCCCAGAGAGATGTATTTGGCCCCCTTGTTGCTGGCCTTTCTATGGAAGCAGGCCTTCCCTGACAACCCATAATAAACTAAGACAAGGCAACCAGTGATTACTGCCAAGACTCATCACTGAAGGCTATCTCGATCTGGTAAGGTTCACACGGCCAAAGATTTGGAGCTTTCAGATTTTTTTTAGTAGAATGTTTTAAGGATAACCTCAGTGGCCTGAGGCCCAGGGATTTTTAATTATAATTATAAATGTTGTTATTTATTATGATTATTTCATATGGCTTATGTAATGTGTTCATGCAATGGGTTTGTTTATTGTTTACTTGGTTGGGTTGGGGGATGATGTGCTCTTTTATAATGTCCTGTTTGTTTTTAACCATT